TCAACATGGATCATTGAGACAGACCATAATTAAGGGTGTGTGCTTTGCTGATCTGCCCATTCAAGAGAACATAGTTCAGTTGCTCAACATTGTGGCCAGGAGTCACATAATGCTACAGCATTTGATGACCCTTCATGCCTTGAGCAACAGCCCATATCTCCATATTGCGTTGTATGCAGCAGATAAACCTGTCAATGCAGTTCCATTTTTTAGATTCCACTGAAAACCAGCCTCAATGTAACTAGTAATGGTGAGAACCTGGTCGCAGCAACTTTGTCCCAGTCTGAAGCTGGCCTGTTCCTTTTGCAGGATGGCTTCAAAGATGGGGTGAGATGGGCCAGTAATACCCTCTTGTGATGGGGTGCCTGTCTGCCCTCTTCCCATCCTTGGCTGACCTAAGAACTGCTCAGAGACTCATCTTTTAGTTCCCACTCTGTATAATTTATTCAAGTCCCTCCACCAACACCTGTATAGTGCAACACGACAGTCCTAATCCCTATGGGACCTTCATAAGGGCCCTGGAAAGACAAGAGATCTCTTTTCCTTTGGATCACCTTCAATCTGGGCACAGCTAGGCCTGTCCTCCCCACTTACAAGTCTTTCCTGCCTTTTATCAATATTGTCAGCTGACGGACCAATTAATTCTTTAACTCACCGTTCCTCCCCAACTGATTAGCTCATTCCTATTTCCTCAATCAGCTGTCACTGGGGAAATTAATTGAGGCTACAGTGATCAGAGTACTGACTCATCTGTCAGGCCTCAGCACTCTGTCACACCTCTCCATTAATTTATGAGTTTGAATTGGTCTGCCAACCATGCTCGTCCCTTGAGGAATTTGGGATAAATGCCATCCTTGCCAGCAGCTTTTCCACTTTGTGTGACCATAAGGGGCTTATTTATTTCTTCTGTAGTGTATGGGGATGATGGTAATGAAGTGGTGGGGCTATGTTAGATGTTTAGAAAGAGCTCTTTCTGAACCTTCTGTGCAGTACTGGTTCTGCCTTTCATGTTTTTAATCTGTGAATCCCGAGATGTTCTTTTGGGAGGGTGCTAAACCTGGTGCAATATCTATTTTAATATGTAATTCTTTATTTCAGTTTGCAGGACATACAGATGTGATCAAGAATCAATATAGAGCAGGCAGTTTTAGGTGTTCAGTTTATGCCCTATGTACAGTACATCTGAAAACAATGCCATAGTCCATGTGAGGCATTTTGGGCCTGATCCTGTTTATCCTATTCAAATTCCCATTGAAGTAAGGCTTGCACGATTTAGCCTATCAGTTGTTAAAAATGTAATGAAATGGTTCCATAATCCTTGAGATGGTTACATTTCAAAACAGACACAATCTTACTTACATACAAAGTAAGTACATAAATAACTTTATTCATGTCTGAATATCGGTGACATCATAGCAGAATTTTCAGAAGCCTTCATGATCCATTGTTAACTTTGAGTACTCAACCACTGACCTTCCAGTGATCTGCCACAAACCATCCATCCATCTCCTCACTGGTTGTCTCTGACTAAGATGACACTCCCCTATCCCTTCCATAATAACTTTCTCAAGTTTATTTCCATCTCTATGCCTAACGTGACCAAAGTATATAAGTTTGTGTCATGCTGGTGTCTGTTGAGCCACTAATCCTGTGAGAGGACATGGTGCGTGCTATAATGAAATTAAATCCTGGGAAAGGACCAGGGGAGTGGTAGATAACGTGCCCAAAGAACTGTTAAAAGCAATTGGCGAAAGCAATACTGATTTTATGTGGTAAATTTGTGATGATGTATGGATGACTAGAAATTGGCTAGACAACTGGATGAAGAGAATTTTTCTGACCTTGCCAGAGAAGGGAAAAATAACAGAGGGTAGTAACTATCATCTCATCTCCCTGATAGTGCACACAAGCAAAGTTCTGTTCTACATAATCCAGGATTGCATGAAAAGAAGTATAGCAGCAGAACTACCACCACAAGCTGGTTTCAGAAAGTGCTGAGACACACCTGACCAAATTGCAAATATCCATCAAATCACTGAAAAATCCAGAGAGTACAGTCACCCACTGATCATATGATTCACTGACTATCCAAAGTGTTTGATACCATCTGACACGACCGCCTTTGGAGAATATTAGCAAGCCTGCAGATCCAATCTGACTAAACTCAGTGCAAATCTCTACCACCAACAACAGGCCATGGTGTGAACAGCAGTAAGCGGTTTTCCCCTGAGCAGGGTGATAGGCAAGGCTGTATTTTGTCCCCAACCCTCTTTAACATATATGCAGAATTTATTATGAGACAAGTCTTGAAGATTTTTACAAAGTGGAAGGAGCTGGGATTTCCATTGGAGGTCACCTCTTAACCAAACTCACATATGCTGATGACACAACTCTCTTTGCTACAACCATCAACGCAATGCAACAAATGCTGGAGTCTGTAAAAACAGTTTTGTGGGAAATATGGACTATTCCTGAATGTAACAAAAACAAATTGCACATACTTTGACACAACAAACAACAACAGGATGTAAGCAGACATCACAATTAACAGACCAGCTGTAGAAGCAGTAGATTATTGAATTATTTGGTATCATATATATCCAACCAAGGAGGCTGTTCCAAAGAAATCTGAAGAAGACTAAAGATGGCTCACTCAGCTATGGCTTCCCTTAAGAGAGTGTGGAAAATACATGGCATCTTGAAATATACAAAGGTGCAACTGGTGAAAAGCATAACTTTTTTCATAGGCTATATGGATGTGGATCGTGGGATGTTAATGCTGCTCACAAGAAGAAAATTGAAATTTTTGAAATGTGGTGCTGATGAAGACTTACATATTACTGATTTATTTTCTATGAATTTTTCAGAAGTTTTCCCAGTTATGATATATTAATATTTTGGTTTTTTTCTTCCTCTCCAATTTTGTACAAATGTTATATTGATAACTTTGTTAATGTTTGTATACATGCTGAAGTTGAAGATAGTGCTATATGAAGGCGATAGGAGTTTTGCATCAGTAAGAAGTGGAGGATGAGTGAGTTGTAAGTGCTAGGGCCTCGATCTTGCAAATACTTATAAATAAGCTTAATTTTAAGCATATGAACAGTTTCACTGGTAAACTCCTGGTCCAACTGAAGTCAGTGATCAAACTCCTATTGACTCCAGTAGGGTCAAGATTGCACTAGAATCCTGTGTGGGACTATTTTTTAAATTCTGCTCCCGCCCCGCGCCGCAATACCCACTTCCACCCGCTCCCACATTTTTTCTTGTGTTTTTATCTCGCTCCCACCAACGAAAACCTTAGATCCTGCAAATCCCGCAAGAGAGACAGATTCCCGCAAGTTACTAAAATAAACTAAAAAGTCAGTATATTCTATATATAAATGGAATTCAGACAATTTTTACCACTAAAAGAATAAAACAAATCTTGCTTAAACCATGTAAAAAGTACTTTAACCTCTGTTATAGTAGACACCAAATCTCTGTCCCGCACTTAAATTTAAGTATAAAAAGTTTTAAAGTATTTTCTTGCAAATTACCACAGTCTGGGTTTTTTTGCCCACTCAATCCTGCCCTCAACAAAGTGCATTTTACCCATTCCCAGTATTATGCTAGCGGGTCCTATGGGACCAGCAGGATCTGCAGGGCTCTGGATTGCACCTATTGACTTGAGTGGGACTGCTCATGTGCTTAAAGTTAAGTCCACATGTATTTATAGATTTGGGGCCTAAATTTCTTCCTTTATATAGCTGAATTATTATTATATAACTATAATTCAGGTTTATTTTATTTGTATGGTTTTAGATATGAGGGGGCATCCATGTTGTGGAGATATATAAATACACAGATATTATATATTTCTTATTTAACTTTATTTTTCAGTATGTATAGCTATGTATCTGTTGTATAAAATAAACGTTATGAATAGGTTTGTGTATGAAAGACGAAAATAATCTTAATGACATTAGTGTGTTGTGTATGAAAATCACAAGCACACAAGGCCCTGATCCTGCAGTGAACTCCATGAAGCCCAATGCTTTAACTTTACGCATGATGTATGCAAGATCAAGGCCTTGGTATATGAAATGTGTTGTAAAGATCAAATTTATTACATTACTAATTGTTTTGCTTTATTTTTTAATGAATTTACCTACCCAGACTGTCCCCATTTAGAAAGGACCATCCTTATTTTTAGCCAAGTATTTATAATATTCCCTGCTTTGTCTTTAAAAAACAAATTCAGTGTATTTCAGTGGAATTAAAATATTTTAATCCACAAACATCCCTGAATTTGTCACCGATTCCATATGTTGGTACATAGAGTATGAAAGACATTATAGAAAATAAAGTTTACTAATTAGTGTTTTGTGCCTGAACAATGCTTTAGAAAATGAAGTTAATTCACTATTAATAATGGTTATTATTTAAAAGGTAAGATTAACTGCATTTTTGTTAACATAAATTTTTATGAGGGACATTAATAAAACCTACTCTCTGCCCCTACCAGCATGTTTCTATCGAGTCCCCTGTCCTACAGCATGCTTCTATCGAGTCCCCTGTCCTACAGCTGTCCTCCCAGTTGCGCTTAGGACATTCATGCACGCTGCCTTCCTATTGCCTTTCCATTGTGGAGCTTTGCAACAAAGGGTAGGATCCAAAGCATGTTCCATTTCGTCCAATCAGAACAACAAACCCAGAGATAGTTCTGATTGGCTCATTCCTGCCTCCCAGTAGCCAATCAGCGTGCTACTTTAACAACCAATCAGCAGCCAGGCTTGTATCCAATCAGCGCTGAGTAAACGGAGCACCGCCTTTGTGTCCTGTGACGGCACGGCGCCGGCGGAAGCCCCAGCCAATGGGGAGGTGCGCCGTTTCCAGGTATTATGAGGTCATCACGCAACCTGCCGCCCCCGCTATAAAAAGCGGGTCCTCGGAGCGGGAGGGCACAGTGAGGGGGGTTGTTGGCTGGGTTGCGTCTCGTACGCGGAGTGGATTATAGCTATAGCAGCAGCAGCCGGCGGATCCTCGGACAGGCGGTGAGTGGCTGTTCCACGCCGGGCAGTGAGCGGCTCCCGTGGGGACAACAGGATGGGCCGACCGGCACCGCTGAGCGCAGCTCCTGGTGGCGTCGGACGAGACCCGCGCGGGACCGTACCTGACCGGCTTCGCCCCGGAAGAAGCGCGATCTCTTGTCCGCTCAGAGGGGGCCTGCTTGAGGTGGCCATCCCGGCTTCCCCTGCTCCGCGGCACCCGCCGCCTGGGACTCGCCGGCCGGCCGCAGGCAGAGGGAGGCGGCCGTGACTCAACCCTTCCCTCCGAGAAGAAAGGCCACGGGGCGGGGGAGCCGTGACTCCTCCTCCTCCCAGGGGAGGCTGCTGGCTGCCTGCCTGCCGCGCGGGGGAGGGGAGGCAGCCCACGGACATCTGCTGCCTGGGGCTGGCAGCGATTTGCCCACGCCTCTGCGTGGGGAGGAAGAAGGGGGATGGTTTGCTGTTGTCGCTATGCTGGGGAGCACAGACCGTGTGGGGGTGGGTTGTATTGACGAAGGGAGAAGGTTTAATCGTGGGGCTGGGGCTTTCCTGTGTCACACCTGCCTATTTCTCTTCTAGGTAAGTGAGGAAAAATGGCCCGTACAAAGCAGACTGCCCGTAAATCCACTGGTGGCAAAGCTCCACGTAAACAGCTGGCCACTAAAGCGGCTAGGAAAAGCGCTCCCTCTACTGGTGGAGTCAAGAAACCTCATCGCTACAGGTAAGGCAAGGAACCTTGCTGAGGCGGTGACAAGTCTGCCTGAGAATATCCTGCAACCCTAGACTTGGAGCTGGAACAACGCGTTGTGATATCCTCGTGGACTGAAGTCTCTTCTTCTTGTTCCTTCTAGGCCTGGTACTGTGGCCCTTCGTGAGATTCGTCGTTATCAGAAGTCTACAGAGCTGTTGATCCGTAAGCTTCCCTTCCAGAGGTTGGTAAGGGAAATTGCCCAAGACTTCAAAACAGACTTGAGGTTCCAGAGTGCAGCCATTGGTGCACTGCAGGTATTGTACAACTAGTGACCTCACTGCTGCTGCTTATGATAACTTAGGAAGTTGGGGGAGCAAGTGTTGTTTTCTGAAGGTTTCTAACACTCTTGCGTTTTTTTTTGTTTTGTTTTTTAAACAGGAGGCTAGTGAAGCATATCTGGTGGGTCTGTTTGAAGACACAAACCTGTGTGCCATCCATGCCAAGAGAGTCACTATCATGCCCAAAGACATCCAGCTGGCTCGCAGGATACGGGGGGAGAGAGCTTAAGTGGAAGCAGTTTTTATGGTGTTTTGTAGTAAATTCTGTAAAATACTTTGGTTTTAATTTGTGACTTTTTTTGTAAGAAATTGTTTATAATATGTTGCATTTGTACTTAAGTCATTCCATCTTTCACTCAGGATGAATGCTAAAAGTGACTGTTCACATAAACCTCAGTGATGTGAGCCTTGTTGCTCAAGAGTGACAAGTTGCTAATATGCAGAAGGGATGGGTGATCTTTCTTGCTTCTCATGCATGTTTCTGTATGTTAATGACTTGTTGGGTAGCTAAAAATGTAAGGTACTAGAATTGATATAAATGTGTACAGGGTCCTTTTGCAATAAAACTGGTTATGACTTGATCCAAGTGTTTAACAATTGGGGCTGTTAAGTCTGACCATACATCACTGTGATAGAATGTGGACTTTCAGATGGTGAAACTACAAGTCTTAACCACAGTGTAACTTACAGTTTCCTAAAAACGTAAACCTGGCAGCTATAGAATACACTATGTGCATTTATAATAGCTATTTTATATATTGTAGTGTCAACATTTTTAAATTAAATGTTTTACATTCACATGTGAGGTGTCCTGTCATTGGTGTGTCCATGGAGTTAAATAGCAAGCTGGATAAAATTTTTGAAGGGAGTGAGTTAATATTCTTTGCCCAATGGAGAGGTAGTGTAATACTTGAGAATGTTCTTGCCTCAATTTGTTGTTTCTTGTATAACTACTTTTACAAGTGACCTGAACTAGGGAAAACTTGAGCTTTTGTCCTCTGGCTGCTCTTGTGAAGATCATGTTTTAAATTAGTAATCTTGTCTAGGCTGGAAGGCAGAGCTTGGTCCCACTCCTTAAATCACAGTGGCAAAATGTGATGTGTGGTTTGTTTTCTTTGAGGGGGAGAAGGCTTTAAGCTACCCCCCTTCAAGGGGCATTGGTATACATTAATCTCTTCCCCAAAACCAAAGCACCTCAAACAAGCTGCAGAAAAAGTTAAGGCTTTAATAGGTGGACTTAATGAGACTAAGCTATGGCCATTAGACTGATAGTGGTTCAGAAGAGAATCGTCTTTAACTTAATTCATTTTGGAGTCACTTCAATTTTCTTTAAGTATGTATCTTCCTTGGAGTTCTTAAGTTTAGGAACAACAAGCATGGGGGAGATCTCAGTTGGACACTGAGGTGTTTAATTTAGGAGGTGCCTCCTGACTTGACAGTCAATGAAATTTTAGGTGCTTTTGAAAATTTGACTTTTCCTCCCACCCATTTAACTTAAGTTACAGGTTGTGAGCAAGTTCTAGATGGAATAAAATTCCCCCATCTCAACTTCTTGTTTCACTTTTAATATCCTTTCTCCCCCGAAACAATTGCTCTTAAACAACTTCCCTGCTTTCAACTTTCCATCAGAAAGCAGAACTAAGAAAAGCCTTGCTAATAAAACTGGTGCAGATTGAGCTACTCCCCCCTCCTGCAACACACAGGTGGAGGGGGCAAACTTAGCTGAAATTCTAAAACACTTTACATGTTTTGTTTTTTAAACAGTAATACATATTTGAGCACTTGCTACTAGTAGCAGCCATAACTTAATTTGACTTCTAATTTAAAGATACAGAAAAGGTGTTAACCTATCACAAGCTACAGTGCTGCTCTTAACACTGAAATTGCTGTCCTGTCCAACTTGCTGTGGGGAAGGAGGTCAGTCTTTTTTTTTTTTTTTTTCCCTTTGGCTGTTGTAGAAGCACTTGCATCCATACTAAAGTCAAGCATGGAAAAATTGACACTGGGAACAGCTATGTTATTCCCATGTTTTATTCCACAGAAATCTGAAAGCTTTTAGTGAAACTCCATGGTTTTTTGGTTTGGTTTTTTTTAAATAAACAACTTATGATGTTGAGAGTGGGCAGGTAAGTTAGCCTTGGCCTTCAGACGGATACCTTAGAATAGACTGCATTTGAAACACTTCCTTCCAAAATTCTGACAGTTTAAAAATAAAATCCTAAATTCAGTTCATATTACAGGTGAAGACAGCCTCTTAATCCGTTGTCAAGGTCTTAACATCTGAAAATAGGATGGAATTGTCACCAGGGCTCCAAATGTGGGTCACTGGAGTGCCTGGAGAATGCTCAGAGCTAGAGTCATCACACCACCTTCTCATCAGACAAACCATTCAGTGTGTTTAAATCCAGCAGCTGAGGGAACAAGCACTTATTACCAGTTACTCTTCTGCAAACTCTAAGGGTGGCTCCAGCACCCTCTTCCCTTTTACAGAATGATTAATTTGGAACAAAATGTCATAGCATTAACACCTTTATAATTATGTAGAACATTATTTTTCCCCAAATCTTAGATACTCTCAACAGCACCAAGATAAGTGTCTAAATACTGCAGGGTAATACAAGACTCTAACAAGAGCATTGAATTATGATGTAAATGACTTGAAAACATCTTAAATGTAGAAAGTTAAGCAAACAGGATACCACCATCTTGACACATTTATTTTATTATGAAGGATGGTCCAGTGGTTAGGGCACTAGGACTTGGGTGATCCAGGTTCAATCCCTGCTCTAGCAGACTTCCTGTGTGACTGGGGCAAGTTGCTTAGCCTCTGCTTCAGTTTCCCTGCTGTAAAATGGCAATAAATGCATTGCCCTACCTCACACAAGGGTGTCGCCTAATAAGTACCTTTTGGGGGTGTTTTCACAGCAAAAAAAAAAAAAAAAGACCTGCAGCAGTGAGTCTCAGAGCCCTGGTCAACTGACTTCGGCTCACACTACAGAGCTAAACATAGTGTAAACATCCGGATTCAGGCTGGATCCCAGGCTCTGAGATTCTTGCTGGGTGTCAGAGCCCAGGGTTCCAGCCCTAGCCCAAAGTGTACACTGCTATTTTTAGCCCCAGGCTGCAAGCCTAAATAAGTTGACCTGGGCTCGGAGACTCACTGCTGCGTTTTTGCTGTGTAGACCCCACCTTTAGATACCTGGGTAAATAAAACCCAAGTCTTGCAAGCAATGGAACTTCCCACAGCTTGATTCAGTCCTACTTGGAAAAGTATATTTAAATATTAGCCCCCCTAAAACACCACTAACTCCATTCACTGAGTGGAGATACTGAAACTTGGGTATTTCTACCAGCGGTTACCTAAAATTGGTTGGGTATGTGGTAAATAAATTAGCTACAGTATTATAGGAATCACTAGAATTTACCTACTATGCTAATTAGACATCACAAAAAAGAGTGGAAGTAAAAAGTTACTTGTGATTTACATCTTTCCCAATGCCTTATGCTTTTTTAGCCCACCTGTTCTCAGCAGGGACAGTTTCCAGAACACCTAACTTCACACATGGGTGCAGCTCATTAGATCTTGTGATTGGGGCAGTTAAACTGAAAGGGCATTTTCCAGAGAAGAATTACTTCACAGTCTCAGGCCTCAATTCAGGAAAGCACTAAAGTACATACATAGCTTTAATTTACAGACATGTTCTATCAACTTCAGTGGGATTTAAGCACAACCTTTAGAAGATCACATTAAAACATTTCTTTTTACCTACATGTGCTAGTACCTCACACAAAGTGGAAGTCTACTTGCATGTGGCAGGATGTGGTGGAACACAAAGAATTTCCATCTTTTTTACTCTAATAAACAGTAAAATGTTTGCTTACCAATTCTCTTGATAATTTCTTCACATTCAGTCTCAGAATTTGATTCAAACACCAGACAGTCAAAGGTACTGTGTTCAGGGGTCCCTGGTGAAACCCTGAATAAGAAAATTCCTATCAATAGACAAAAATAAGTCCAGTAATTCATAAAGGGGTTTAAAATGGTGTCCAGGTACAGGAAGTACCATAGAGGGACCTCATCTCAACATCTGGTGCATCTGTAACAGCAAGGCTGATGCTCCATGTACACATACAGCAATAGCACACATCTATTGGACCCTGTGCTGTTAGCCCCTTTTTCATTTACTGACTGTGGCACATGAGGGGCAAGCATGCCAAATCCAATCACCGGATCTTTCAAAGTTTCTCCAAAAGAGTACACATGTTTTCTAACTCTAGCTTGATAATGGTTTTAAGACTATGCATGAAAATGTAATTGATAGAAGTCATGATCCCAAAACCAGACTAGGTTTATCCCACAATCAACACTTACGCAACGCAAAAGGCAAAAAGATTGTTGCTGTCCAGACGGCGACCCACACAGGAGATCTCTGGATAGGGGTATTGGAACAGAACCTATGGTGTAACAATCAAGAGAGAGATTTGATTAGCAACAAAGCTGACAGTTCAGGGTTCAATCTCTGGAGCCTGCCGTTTGTTCACTGAATTAGTCCGGCGTTAAATAAATTGCTGCAAAGGGAAATGTAGAATGAAGTCAGAGCTGCTGCTGCCATGCATAAGAGACACAAAATAGTTTCACATTCTGACACTGCTGTGTACACACAAAGGTCAGTGCACTTTCTACAAGCTAAAAACACACAAAAGCAAAACCATGCTAAGGAAAGTGAGAGGGGACACATCGGTATTTAAACATCACTAATGTGCCATGTTAGAGGGCTTTCACTTCACCCTCCCACCTCCCTGGTTCTTGTCACGCAGACAGCAAAAGACCAGAAGTCCGAAGTGCAGACTGCGATATTTATTGGGGTTAGTTTCCAAGCAAGCATATTCCGAAGCCCTTCACACCAGTCAGGCTTATTTCTATACGCCGATAGAGTCTGTTCCCCAGTGTTCTGTTCCCAGCTCTGATGCCGCAGAGCGTTTACCCCGTCCCCCTTCCCAGCTTTGACGCCGTAGAGCGTTTACCCCGTGTCCCCCTTCCCAGCTCTGACGGTGCAGAGCCCTGTTCCCCATTCCCATTCCCCCCCCTTAGCAAGCATGATTCCAATTTCCCTGCCCCCCACTTCCTGTTTGACCCCAGTTTATATAGCAATATTCTCAGCTATACCTTAACCAATCATTTTCCTGAAACTTAACTAACCAATCCTAACATACTGTAACATAATTCTCTAACCAATTCTATCCCACTACCCTAATTAACTTACACCGAGCAAAATTAATTGTACAGCAGACAGAAACAATTAGAGAACCAGACAGATTAACAATAGAAAAGTGGGGGCCATAAAGATAAAACAATATAGAAATGAGGGGTTCACAACCATTGATAAGTGATTTCTTGCCAGACAGGATGCTATCAAACTAAGTTTTCTTTAACCATCTTAAGATCTGTTTCTTTATCTGGTGGTGATGGGCACTATCAAGACAGGATCGTCTTCCTAACAGCCCAATACCATCTCATTTCAGCGTGACTGGTTTGGGATGTGAGGATGTGACCGTTCGCTTCCCAGCTTATGGCTACCCCTGCCGCTTAGCCAAAGGCCTTAGCCTAAGAACAAGGCCTCAGACTGTCCTAGGGAGAGAAGGCCCGAACACAGGCAGACTGTGATTTTGATTCTTTGTTTTTATACCCCTGTAACTAGCTAAGTGATAAAAATACACCTAAGTTCTTAAAGTACAGGCTTTATAGGAAGGCCTGAATATCTATATTCTAACATGCCAGAATGTTTCAACTAAACTTGAAGACAACCCTTTCTCACCTTGGAAGAGGTTTTCTCTTGTATGAAGACTTCAGTTTCTTTCACGTCAAATAAAACTTCCTGAATAAATAAACAAAACCAACTTTTAAGATTTATTTTAGAGAAAGATAATAGCAAGAGAGCGCTTAACCAGGAGTGATGTAAATCATATGGAAGCCCAATTTTTCAGGAAGCCTTCTTCCGCTGGTGGCAAAATCCACAGATCAGAAGGGCTGGTTGGTGCAGCAAATGCGGTGTGGTCGTGAGTGAAAATGACCCCGGTGATAATCTCCGTCTAACCTCTGGTGGTGATTTGACAGGATCGCAAAATTGCCACATAATTGAGTTTGATTGTCAGATCTCTGCTCAGGAGGAATAAAGGATGGAACCAGCAGAGGATATTTCAGGTCAAGACAGGCAGAGCTGTGTGCGGAGGAGGAGTTATGCAATACTCAGCTTGTGTTCTCCTCTTCGGAGCTCACAGGACCTGATTCACTGTTGCCCTCCATCTTGTAAAATGCTTTATACCAGTGCATCGTGGGCATCAATCACAGCTATTCTAGAACGGTAGTGTTTTAAACCTACTTCACAAACATCTACGCAAGGTTCAGGGCATTGGTCAATCAGGCCCAGAAATGTAGATAACTGATTGAGGATTTAAATCCTCAGATTCCCTATTTTAAAAGTTTTCTATTCTTTGGTTGCAAAGATCCTTCTATACATTAAATCCCTACTAGTGGCTTGTTGAATACACAGCCCGGCTGGTTGAATCTGGAACCAGAGTGGGCGAACAGCACTGGCAGAGATGGGACCTTCCTACATTTATCTTACTGAGGTGTGGTGACAACATCAAAATCCTAGCTCAGCCAACTTCAATGCCAACGTTAATCTGCCAGTATTCATAGTAGACAAACATCAAGCTTGAATGACTGAAGCGTAATTGTAAACCCAGCTGGGGCTGACTCTCATTTAGACTCTGTCTCTCTCCTTTTGCCAGCCACATCCTCCCCTACACACGCTCCAAACCTAAACCCGTCTGTTCTGTGCCGACTTAACCATAGAATTACTCTTCAGCACTTCTATAGCACCACAAGGTGGACGCTGCACTTTACAACTGGTCAGAATGCCAGACAAACAACAAAAATCTCTCCCTGTGGAGTTTACATACAAAAGGCAGGAATGGATCCAGTACAAGAATATTAAAAGTATCCTGAAGAGGGAAAACAATGCCTGGTCTGTGCCTTTATTTTGCTTCTTTGTGAGGTCTACAGAAGGCCTGACATTTTGTTAAAGGAGAACGGGTTCCGCTTGTTTAATCACCTTAAATCTGATCAGAAATGACCAGTCTTGTCTTCCCAGGATTTGCTGGTGAACTTGGAGGTGTATATTATGCCTGTTCAGTGAGTATAGTACTATTCAGCTGGCATGAGAGTGGCAGAGTTAGGCTCTTACATTATAACACTGCAGGGTAGAGCACATGTCTTTTTCCCCCAAGCACTGAGCATTCTTTGCACTTGGTATTATGTCACAGTGAGCAGTTCTAGCCAGCCTGTTCAACTCAATGTCTCAGGCTCTCTTCCTACTACAATAATGTATATAGGTATCCCAGATATTTGTTGCAGATGCACATAGGCTACTTGGTGCATGTATTCAAAATACAGAGGTATGGATCTCAAGTGCTCTGCATTGCTTAAGGAAAAGGAAATACATTCTCCCCAACCCATTTTGTTTTGACTCATGCAATAGACACAGATTTGCTGAGCTCCAAACCCTATGTTTCAGACTCTTACGAATGCTCAAGCCATGTGGTTCTCTCTCACTAGGTTTGACAACCTAAGCAATGTAGGTAATAGTCCCCTCCCTCCCTCCCAACACACTAGCTCTTCCCCAAGCTCTCCCGTGCACGTGTGCGCATACACTCGCTTCTTAGCTAATGCCAGCATCGCCATTCATGCATGAAGGTGGAAGACTTTCTCATAGGGTCTGGCAGGAACCACGTCACTGGTAGAAGCCATGTGCAGGAGGAAAGCCATTCCTCGCTATATTAGTGAGGGGTTTGGGAGCAATTCCATAGTTACGGCCGAGTCTAGACCTCTATTCCAAGCCCTGTTTTCACTCTAACTTTTGTTCAGAGTGACCCACTTGTTTGCAAATTGAAATGCTTAAAGCAGGGTAGGAGAAGGATTTTTCCTTAGAATCTGGAGAGTGCAGGAAGTGTTTATGCTACCAAATCAAAAATTCATTGTGGCTTAGAGTTTTCTCCAGCGCCTAATGCTTTTTTTAGTCCACCTGTTCTTAGCAGGGCCGAAAATTTCAAAAACATTGAACTTCACAGGAGTCTGCAGCTCTTTAGTTCCTGTGAATGGGGAAGTTTTAAATTGAGAGGGCATTTTCCAGAGGACAATTACATCACAATCTCAGGCCCCAATTCAGGAAAGCCCTGAAGCAGCACATGATTAAATTCTAGCGACTTTAATGGGATTTAAAACCCATGGATAAGTGATTTCCTGAACAGGGGTTAACCCTTATGGACCATAGACAGGCTAGACAAGTTAGTTGCATTATCCTGTATAGTGGAATCACCATGCTGGGCCTTTACAATTTGCATCTGAACACCAGAGACTAGACAGGTCTGGTTTGCTACCATAGAGGAATGAGAGGGGGGGAACCCGGTTGAACGGGGGGGGGAAGAGAGTTTGAAGAGGAGACCCTGGGTTTGTCAGACAGATGAAGAGCTGGGGGTCAGCAGGGAGGAGGAGTTGTTCCCAGGCAGTGAAGAACCCCTGTCTTGTTCTTCCATGACCCATTCTTCTACTCTGAAGGCCCCAGGCAGGAGGCCCCAGGGAGCAGAGAATGCCTGCCCTGCCACAGGTTTCAGAGTGGTAGCTGTGTTAGTTGTTTTCGTCCTGCCACACACCCCCTCACTGCTAAGGGCCCAGGGAGGATTTTTTGGGAATTAAAAAGTAAGGAAATTCCCAAACAAAGAAATCAGACTGGAGGAAGGGGTGAGAGTGCCGGGGAAGCTGTGCTTATTAAACAAATAAACCCCCAAGCCCTTAGAAGCTGAAGAAATTCAGCGTTAAGATTAAACCAAAAAGAAACCGAAAGAGCTGAGAAGTCTAGAACGGCGCCGGCACCGCAAACCACCTCATCTCTGCCCTGGAGCGATGCCAGCCGCCAGTCCATCCTTCCTGCAAAGTCACAGTGAGGAACTCACCTGTGGGCACAGGTGCTGCTCTAACACCTTGGGTATGCCTTCGTCCAGCACCTCTTTGCCACCGTACTGAAAACAGATCAGGGTGGGGTGTGGGGTGTGGGAAATAAAATAATGAGTATGTTAAATGAAAGTCAGTGGATTTCACCCCCCCACACACACACACTACAGTCCATCAGAATCACAACGGTACCTTTCCGACATTGGCCTGGCCCAGGTACCGTAGGTTGTACAGTAGCCTGGGGAGGAAGAAACAGAATTAGGACAGGGAGTCCATGCATAGCTCCTCTAAGGTGTCTTGCTATGGCACAACTTAAAGCATGCACCAAACCCACTCACCCCCAGAACGGAATGATGCTGGCCGCTTTAAGGTTGAGATTCTAGATGAGTCACAATACTGATACCAACCTTAAGGATCTCCACAACCCTTGGGCGTGGAGCATGCGTTTCAGCGCAAAAGAGCAGCTGCCTAGTGTGTGTTGGATGCGGAGGACTGCTCCGGAGCACACACTGCAGTGCGCTGCCCAGCCCCACATATGTAACAGAGACCTCTACTCCCTTCCCCATCCCGGCTTGGCTTCATTTCCCAAGCTCAGGGCTAACCCAATGCTGGGCACGTGGGATCATGTCGCCCCTACCGACGCGCGTTCCTCAGTTCCAGCCGGCCCTACCTGCCCCCCTGCAGGCACCGCTCCTCCTTCTCCTCTTTGTGTCTGTGCTCCTGTTGGAGCTGGAAGCTGGGGACCTTCTCCCTCAGCACTTTCAGGTAGGGCAGCAGCGGCTTGTACATCCCTCCGTCGTGCCACTTCCACCGGATCATGCGGAAGCTCAGGGGCTTGCCCTTCAGCTTCTGCAGCACAGTCCCTGCCTGAAGGAGAGGAGAGAGCCAGGGCACCCATTGAGGGCAGGGGGCTTGGATCATCCCATGCCAATCCCCTCCCTGCTTTCTGTGGTGTAGCTCTGTGTACTCTCAACAGCTGTTAACAACGGAACAACCCGGCCCCGCCCCTGGGATCCAGCCACAAGCTGCCAACACATCGTTCCTCCCCTTCCTGCTCACTGAGATCAGGGAAATTGTTCTGTACCCATCCCACGGCCAGACACCTCATCCCTCTGCAACTCCCTCCCCTGCCCCACACACCAGTGAGGCTTTCACTTGAGACAGGATCCCAGGAGAGGGGGGCGGCACATCAGCTTCTGAAGGTAGGAGTTCGTCTGACCCCGCGCGCTTCCCCCCACCTGTCCGTTGCGTGCATTTCTCAGGGAAAAGCCACTGATCTCGTCAATGACGTCTCCAGCCAGCACCACCTCATCCACCTCTGCCTGGCTCTCGGGAAGCACCTCGATGACGAAGATCCGACCGTCCAAGTACCTGATGGCAGAGCCGAGACACAGAGTTCAGCTGGAAGGACCGGATGAAAACATCCCAAGCAGCTGGGGATGCAGGATTCCTCGGGCCAGAAGAAGAACTAATGTGGCTCTATATCCCTTGGCCCAAACAGGAGGTGGGTCCAGCCACTTACAGCCCTTTTGCTCACTGGAGGACAAGGCAGCTGCTCGCAGAGTCCATTGGCGTTTGGGGTGTAATGGGTGCAAGCGTGCCGTTCGAGTCATCCTTCCCCTTGCTCTGGTTTTGGCACGGGGCATGCGCCCTGCCTTGGGAGCACTTTCAGCCCGGGTCAGGTTGGCATCTAATCAGGGACGTGACCCAGGCCACGGCCATTGGAGAGTCCAGAGAAGAGCAACAAAAATGATTAAAGGTCTAGAAAACATGACCTATGAGGGAAGATTAAAAAATTGGGTTTGTTTAGTCTGGAAAAGAGAAGACTGAGAGGGGACATGATAACAGTTTTCAAGTATGTAAAAGCTTGTTACAAGGAGGAGGAAGAAAAATTGTTCTTCTTAACCTCTGAGGGTAGGACAAGAAGCAATGGGCTTAAATTGCAGCAAGGGAGGTTTAGGTTGGACATTAGGAAAAACTTTCTAACTGTAGGGGTGGTTTAGCACCGGAATAAATTGCCTAGGGAGGTTGTGGAATCTCCATAATTGGAGATTTTTAAGAGCAGGTTAGACAAACACCTGTCAGGAATGGTCTAGATAATTAGTCCTGCCACGAGTGCAGGGGCCTGGACTAGATGACCTCTTCAGGTCCCTTCCAGTCCTACGATTCTATGATAAGTCCATAGATCCCAGCAGCACCCACTGCAATGCGGACGTGAGGCTGCTGAGCAGTAGGGGAAGGGAGGAGGAAAGCTGGTCTCTTACCTGAGCACCATCCCCAGTTCTCTGCAGGGTACAGTCTCATAGGTCATGCACACCTAGAACACAGCATCTGTCAGGACAGCCTCCAGCAATGGCTCCAGGGAGCACAAGAATTCCCTCTCCAGCCCCTTTCAGCCTTGGCAAGGAGGGGGGCATTTTGTCCCCATTAGTGTTTGCTCCATTTACATTTGGGGGAATTGCTCTGAGAGACGCCAGCCTGAGACCTCCGGAGTCTGAGGTCATCCATTTATCCACAGAAGATGTGCAGCAGCAGTGAGCGTTCCCCCTTAGAGCCCCACCCATGGGCCTCCAACCCAACCTCGAGCACCCACCGCCATGTCTTTCCAGAGTCTGCTAAACGCCCGCCTAAGGTGCTCAGCCAAAGTTTGTTCAGTCTTCAGCCTCTCTGCTGAAACTGCCAATCAGAGCGGTGACTGTGGTGGTGCTTTTTGAGACAGACTCCGGCCTGCTAGACACTGGACGGAGGTCAGGGCCGGCCACCCATCCCCACACTTCTTAGATTGCCATGTTGTAACGACCTTTGGACAGTGGAGCCACAGGTTCCCTGTCCCATTACTAACCCCTGGAGCCATCTCCCGGGCAGGCAGCTTTCTGACCTCACTGACACAAGGTCATTCACTGCAGGTCTCTAACCTGGGATTTAGGCAGGGCCAAGGCAGACTCTGGAGGAATTAGTCTGCAGGACACACACACACACAAACCCTGTACTCCCCCCCGCGAAACACTTCCCATCATGCCACGTTAATTAAAGGGACTCAGGCAACCTGAAATGCAGTCCATTCAGTTGTAAGCCTTTTAGGGGCAGGCACTGTGGGTGAAATCCTGGGCCCATGAAAGTCAATGGGAGTTTTGCATTTGGCTTCGGTGCAACCTGAATTCCATCCCAGATCTTTGTTTATATATATATATATACATATATATATATAAAAAATAAATGAATGAAGACCAACAGAACTATTTCTAAGATTTTGAAAATCCAGTGGAAAGGGGGAGGGGATAATTTTAAAAGAAATTAACACTTCCCTGCAGGTTTGCAACCTCCTAGCACAAGAAAGCCAGAAAAATGGAACTGAGTGAAACTGACCGGCCTATTTTCATTGTCTGAACCCAGAGAAATGCAAGATGTACAAGAGCAGCAGTAATAATAGGTACTTAGATTTTAAAAATTCCTCCAATTTTAGATACCTGCGATGTTAGTAACTTAGCCCCAGTCCTGTAAACACTGACTTACCTGCTTCACTTTACTAGCAGGAGTGGTCCCTGGGACCCAAGGGAGTAAAGTGAATCAGGGGAGTAAGTGTTTGCTGGTTCAGGACCTATTTTAAAGAATCACAGAATGGGCTAGATCTTCAGCCCATGTAAACAGATGGCACTTCATTGGCTTCAATGGAGCTATGCCAATTTGCACCATCTAGCCCAATGATTTTCAACCTGGCAGTGTCTCTTGAAGTCTAACAATGTTCTGTGTTTATGATCCAGCTAATCAGCAAGGGGCCACCCAGCAGATGGAAGGAGGAAGAATAAAATCTTGGATCCCGCATCAGAAGGAGAAGCAGAGTCTTACCGGCAGCAGCCAACTTTCATCCAAGAAACTGGAATTCTGCAGACAAAGCACAGCAGAGCAACTGTGTCAAGTAAGGAGACAAAGACCTCTGTACACAGAGTTATGTTAGACACACAAAGCTGCTGCCCAGACCAACTTATTACCGTACCTGCAGATCCAGGGAGAAATTCATCTCTGACACCACCAGCATCAGTGAGAGGAACGGCTCTGTAAGAGGGGGGACCAAGAGCCAACATTACTGCCAGACTCCTCACCAGCTGCACACTGGCTTATCCCCATGTCCCAGGGACACTGCAGAGGTCCAGATCAGAAGAGATTTTCCATGTAAGTAGCAGACAATAGAGGACATGCCCCCCAATTTGGACAACAGGGAGTTTTAGATCCTCAGGGTCATACTGTATTAAGAAGAACAATACTTGCCCAACTGTACATACCAACAATATTTTGCACTTCTCCAGTGCCTTACATCCAAGGATCTCAAAGCACTTTACAAACCTCAATGGATTAAACCTCATGGCAGCCTGTGAAACAGGGATTATTATCCCCATTTTGCAGGATCATGGTTAAGTTCACACAGCAAGGCTGTGACAGAGCCAGGAAAAGACCCCAGCTCTCTCCAGGTCTGCACTGTAGGAGCTGCGTGCTATGTCACACAGTCACAGAACTCTGACCAAAACCACACAGCAGACAAACTAACCTCATGGCACGAAATAGAATTCTAACTCAGCTACAGAAAAACAGCTGACCAAGAAGCACTCTGGACAGGGAAAGGGATGGCTCCATGAGCACACTGGCCTGTGGACACACAGGCATCAGCCAGCTCGTTAGCAGGGCTTTTAGACCTTCACTTACAGAATGTTGGTTTTTCACCCCCTATCCACTTTGCTACTGGCCAGGGCCAGGATTCTAAGGCCTTGTTAATGCCAGGGTTTTTTTTGCAAGAACATCCCATCAGAGCCTTGTCTATAACAGTCCCCGCTGCATCGCTACCACTGGTGGAACCGCACTAGTGGGACATTTGTGCAAAATACCCTCAAAACCTAGTCCAGACACCCATCTGGAGTACAAACGCAATACACGTGGGCCTAGGGTGACCAGACAGCAAATGTGAAAAATCGGGACGGGGGGTGGGGGGAGCAATAGGTGTCTATATAAGACAAAGCCCCAAATATCGGGACTGTCCCTATAAAACCAGGACATCTGGGCACTCTACATGGGCCTCAATCCAAAGCCCATTGAAGTCAATGAGCATCTTTCCACTGACTTCAACAGGCTTTGAATCACAGAAACCACCACTAGCAGGTAACTTTCTTCCACTTCTGTGTTTTAATCTCCAGTACATCCTTCCTCTCCAATGCTAACCGTGCAATTATATTGATGGGTTTGTGTGACTTAGACTTCAACTAGAAGTCCAAAGTGATTTAAAAGCCATCTAGGGACAGTTTTACCACCAGTTATTTAGCATAATCAAAAGAAAAGGTTTTCTCCCTGTCCCGGTACTCTTGGGAGAATAGTTGCTGATGGAGACACAGCATTCCAGCCTTTCATAATAGCTGGAAAAGTGTTCCAGTTCTGACATCCTCACCTGGGACCAGTAGGGTTTAGGCTGCTAAGAGTTACCTACAAGACACCAGACTTTTGCAGTTTACTTAAAGAAACACTCCAGTTACAAATCATCCTATTTAACTTTCCCATCTCAGATCCCTAACACCACCTTGTGATTGATTCAAACTGAATGATAAATGTCTAATGTACCTCCCCAGCACTGAGACTGCTTACTTAGATTTTACCACTTCCTTCCGCTTAGACAATAAAACAGACGTTAGCTTCGCTCGCTGCTCTAGCACTGGGTTGTGACACCTGGGCTGCAAATGCTGTGGGGGGAGGTTTAGATCCAAACAAGAATTGTTTCATTGGCTTTTTAAAAAAAAAAAAAAGGGTTATTTCTATTCATTTTAGGTTTGGTAAAACTTAAAATAAAAACACCCTCAAAAGACCAACATTTTGGGTCTGACTAAAAGGAGGCTGATTTTTTTCCTGTATTACAGTAGTGCTTAGAGATCTCAGCGGATTGTGTTGTCTTCACCCTAGTTTAGTTTGCAGCTAAATAGACCAGGGTAGAAGAAAGGAGGTATTAGGATCCATATTTTACAGTTGGGAAACTGAGGAACAGAGAGATCATGTGACTTGCCCAAGGTCATAAAGGAATTCTGTGGCAGAGCCAAGAATTTAACCCAACTCTTGGAGTCCCAGCCCATCCTTCTTTTCTGTCCCTGTTAGGGAACAGAGTTTTCTTATAACCATTCATCGCCAAAGGTTATTTCTTAGTGATGAAGGTCAAATTCATCCTCTGGTGTAAACTCTGCTGAAGTCTATGGAGTAACACCAGGGATTAATTTCATCCTGACTTCAAAATAATAATCTCATTTCATCCCTTGAAATGGTTCCATCACAGCGTCCTTACTCAGATACAATTCCTAAGGAGCTGAATGAATAAGAAGTGCAGGATGGAAGCTATAGTAAATCCAGGAATTATAAATAAACTGGAGGTTTTCCAGAATACAAGATTGCATACCCTGGCTTTCCGTCATCTTCGCTTCATAAATGGGGGGAAATATTTTTAGACCTACATCTCAACCAATTTGTGTGTTGGTTTTTTTTAAGTGACATTACTGAATTTTGGAGGAAGTCTCAACCTTACCCATGAAATCTTCATTTCCCAGCACTGAGACCAGAGGATCGTAACACTGAAATTAAAAAATTTAAAACAAACACACACACACAGATACACACATGATTTAGTTGCACACCATGAACTGAACAACACGGCCACAAAACCATCTAAAATTCTACACTTTAAATTGCATCCATGGCACACACAGAAATGAATGACCTCAAATTTGTTCTGGAAGGTGGTTTTAGCTTGGCAGACAAAAGCCTGGATTTTTATTTGAATCCTCTGGAGCCTGTTCACCTGGCCTAGAGAACTCAGAGGAGATTTCAAATTCTTCCTATTTTTGGCCAGGCTGGAATTATAAAATACAGAGGTTCAAGCAAAAAAAAAAAAAAAAAAGCTTTCTCCTTAGGCCCAAGATTTGGATCAGTTCTTAGTTTACCCAAACCCAGTTCCCTGCTGCCCCTCATCATAAAGATATTTCATGCTGAAAGCTCTTCCTACCTCCAGCAGTTTTGGATTCCGAGCCAGCTGTTGAATGGCAGTAGCTAGTAACTTCTGATTTAAAGCTAGGCGCAGGAAGTACCGCCCTCGTCCCTGCGCTGTCAGCACCTTCTCACAGGAACTGGCTTTCTCTACCATGATTGACAAGGGGGTCACCCTATAAAGAAGAAATATGAAGAGGGAGCAGGAAACATTTACAGCATCGGCAGGCAACGACCCATTCCCAGGCTCTGGTCGTCCGCCAAAGGGGTCTTGGTCACTCACTTGTAATGGGGTTCTCTTCCAGGAGCAAGTCATTGTGCCAGTTTCTGTAATGGCACCTGTCACAGTTCAGGGCAACTGCACCTGTATTCCCCCTGTAGGGTCCAGCAAGGGGACCCACTCTCAGGTTTCCAGCTCCCCTGGTCATCACCTCTCCTGGGTGGAGACATGTGTCTCACTCCCTTCTGACCAGTGTATTTCCAAGTTGCACTGCTTCCTGATCATACTGTGAATTGACCTGCAAAGTCAGTCTGCCTGAACAGGCCTTTGCTTCCTTTCCCTCCAGAGCCGGCATACAGTGTAATTGCTGCAGTTATAAATGACCATGCATTTCTCCCGATGCAAGCCTCCGTGTTCTTAAGATACAAGCGCTACAGAGAACACATCTTAAAAAACAATAAAAGAACCTCCACGCATGCTAATAAGCTTACCAGAGATCACCCCAACCCTAACAGGGGCTCTGGCAGGAACAGTCCTTTAAAACCCCACCCAAGGGGTTTCAAGTTCATCACAGTTTCAGCTCGGAACAAGCAACCAGTCTTATGGGGCCTCAGTAGGCCCAGTCCTGCCATCCCCTCCCCAAGGATTGGGGGTCTCCATGGACCAGGGGTCCTGTCCATTGGCTGGATCAGGAAGAAGGCCCTGAGCCAGTTTAAAACCAGGCTATTTATCCAAAAATCCTTTCTTTGTGCGTTGAGCTCCGGATAATCCAGTTTTAACTAGTGTACGTGCACCTGTTCAAGGGGGGTGGCTGCAAAGGGCTGCAAACGGAGGCCTTGCATTAACGTCATCCCCCCCTCCTCCACAATAACACATACTCCGCCCCATTTTTTCATGCAACGGACCCAAAAGATTGTCCAGGATATTGTCATCCAAAGGCCACTCACCCACTGCAGGTATCCTGCTGAGGAAGCTGCTCTAACCAGTGCCAGTAATCTCGTCTCTTGAAGCCCAGCACCGGCTCTGAAGGAGAGAGAAGAGGAGCTCCTTCAGGAAGGCCCTCTGACAGGTAACCAGGAGAGCGCTTCCCTTGGAGATTCTGCAAAGGCAGCTGCCCCTATTCTTTCCACATGGAGTCACTCCTAACCAACACACACGACTCCCCAGGGAGTTCTAGGCCTCCGTGGTTCCTGGGCTCTGCTTGTCCTTTACTAACAAGCACCACATGCACCAGTCTGTGTTGCTCCCCCTCTTTCGGGCCCGCACCAGCCCCTGCAGCGTGCATGGAGTAGAAGTGGCCACTCACGTTTAATTCCTTTTCGAAGGATCGTTTCCAAGATCTCGCAGAAGGGGGCTAGGTGCGGGGAGGCGTCAGTGCACGGGCTGCTCCCCTCCTTGATGGCGAGGATGCACGCTGTGAGACAGTGGGAGGCAAGCAGAACGCTGTGGGCACCTGTTCACATCATCCTCTCGTGGGACTGGTCTTGATGAGCTGGTATTTTTAACCAGAGCTAGAGCAACAGCTTGTGGAATAACTCTGCAGTCAGTCTGTTACCATCAGGTTGTTCTATTTGGCAGGAAGGTCCATGAACAGATCAAGTTCAAGTCACGTGGTCAAACCATTTGCTCAGCCCCCAGAGATATAAGATCAATGTTAAATACCAGGAGGAAAGCAAACTCACTCCTTGCTTCAGGCCTGGCTCATGAGAGGTAACTTGGTCTAGGGAAAGAGCACAAGGCTGGGCATCAGGACTGCCAGAGTTCTAATGCCAGCTCTGCTAACAGAGCAGTCTGAGACTCTGAGCAAGTCACAACCCCTGCGGCTGAGTTTCCCTACCGAGACAAGGGGGGATAGCACCACTTCACCACCCTGGAGAGAGAGAGGGAGGATTAGACAATATCTATCAAGCGCACTGATGAGGTGAAGCATTCACACATAGTCTTTCCTTTGTAGTAGGCATAAAAGGCCCAAGACTGAAATGTGTCAAGCACCCTCAACGCTCCTTGACGGTCAATGGCTTTTGAGAGCACTTGACACCTGGCACAACTGAGTACAAAAGCCAGCACCCCCTTCCCTTCTACCCACAAGGAAGGTGGGCATTTCAGCAGCTTGGTTGGAAACTGCAATTGTCCCCTTTCTATCAGCTCACTCACAGCTGATGGTCAGCCCTGTTACCATCTGGAGAGGTGGAGCACAACATACAGAAGAAAACGGCTTAGAACTTGTCTCAGGGAACAGCGGAAGCTCTGTTCGCTGCCTGAGACAGGACACGGTTGCCCTGCTGAAGATCAGTTTTACTTTCTCTACTGGGTTCCTACCACATTACTACCTGTTTCTCTAAAGCCAGCAGCACTCTCCTACTTCCTAGTACATGGCTAGAACCCAGCTGGAGCCTGACAGCTAGTCTCACTTTTCGACTACAGCCTACACTTCTGCCACAAAGAGCAAGTCAGGAGGACTAAGAACCTCGTCTCCTTACAAACACTGCTCGGCAGCAGCAGCGATCTCCCAGGTTGAGGCAGAAGGATCTCCTTCCTGCTGCTGTAACGCCTGTCTGCCCCATACTCTCCCAAGTTATTCTTCACGGTCAGTTCCTCAGGCCAGCTTTCAAACTGGTTCTGTGAAGCATGGGGCGCATTGCTGGTGGTGTATAAATAATAACAAGCCAGCGAACAGGGGCAGCAAACCGGGGAGTTTGAGAGGGAGTCGTAGTATAATCCCTATGTTTAGCAATGCCAAAGCTGCTCCTGTCTCCTCCACCTGCATCCAGACAGGGAACCTAACCTCAGAGGCCTCTACCCAGATCCTGGTGTGGATTTGTAGGATCTGTCGCCTGCATTTCCCACTCACAGAAAGTCAGGCTGGGGAGACTGTCCAGTATGAAAGGTGCCTGCTGGTGAAATCTCTCAGGAAGCAGGTAGGAGAGCTACAGGAGGAGGTGGCTAGGCTGAGGCACATCCGTGCCTACGAGGAATTCATTGAGTGTATTCATATGGAAACCTCCAAGGCTGGGGAAGCTGTCCAGCTAGAGAGGACTTCTGTCATGCCCCTAGGTGAAGAGGATATGGCTCTGTCCCAGGGAAGACACTGGCAGCTGGTTACTTCTGACGGCAGGCAATGCTTCACCCCTGCTCCCAACCCACCCACCACAGTGATGAAGAACCATTATGCTGCCCTGGCAATGAGCGATGAGGAATCGCCCCCAAAGGTGGATGAGGAGAAGCTCTGTACCCCCAAGGCTGGGAGGATCACAGTCACTACTCCCAGGAGGAAATGTAGGATAGTGATGGTTGGTGGTTCCCTTCTGAGGGTGACAGAGGCACCCATCTGTCGGCCTGACATGGCATCCCAGGAGGTATGTTGCCTGCCAGGGGCCCATATCTGAGACATTACGGAGGGACTGCCGAGGATCATCCGGCCCTCTAACAACTACCCCATCTGTGAGCAGATCAGAAGTGACTGCAGGGCTCTGGAAGTGAGGGTCAAGGAGTTGGGGGTGCATGTGGTGGTCTCTTCAATCCTTCCAGTCAAGAGTAGGGGCCCAGACAGAGACAGATGCATCCTGGGGGTGATGCCTGGCTGTGCAGATGATGTTGACAGGAGGGCGTCAATTTCCTTCACCACAGAATTCTGTTCTCGGAAGAAGGACTGCTGAGCCGAGATGGCATCTCCCTATCAAAGAAGGGGATGTGTATCTTTGGATACAGATTGGCTAACCTAGACAGGAGGGCTTTAAACTCAGTTCAATGGGGGCAGGAGACAAAAAGCCCACAAGTAAGTTAAAAAAAATGAAGACTGGTCAAAATCTGGGGGGAGCATGGGCCATTATATCAGGGACAAGGGAGAGACAAGAGGGAACATAGGGCAGAAATCAAATCAGTATCTTAGATGTCTATATATCAAAAATGTATACACTGGGACTGAGGTTGAGAGGGAAATAGGAGACAGACTTGTTGAAAGTCTCTAGGTAGGGATAAAAGGGGTAAAAAACAAGGGTGATGTCATGGTAGGGGTCTACTACAGACCACCTAACTAGGAAGAAGAGGTAGAGGAGGCTTTTTTAAAACAACTGACAAAACCATCCAAAGCAGGACTGGGTGGTGATGGGGAACTTCAAATACCCAGACATCTGTTGGAAAAATAATATAGCATGGCACAAATTATCCAACAAATTCTTGGAATGCATTGGAGACAATTTTTTTACTTCAGAAGAAAGCAACAGGGGAGAGGCTGTTCTAGATTTTATTTTGATAAATAGGGAGGAACTGGTAAGAATTTGAAAATGGAAGGCAGCTTGGGTGAATGTGATCATGAAATGACAGAGATCACGATTCTAAGGAACAGGAGGAGGGAAAACAGCACAATAAAGATAATCGATTTCAAGAAGGCAGACTTCAGCAAATTCAGGGAGTTGGTAGGTAAGATCTCATGGGAAGCAAGTCTAAGGGGGAAAACAATTCAAGAAAGTTGGCAGTTTTTCAGAGAGATGTTATTAAGGGCAAAAGAGCAAACTATCCCCCTGTTTAGGAAAGATAAGAAGTATGGCGAGACACCACCCTGGCTTAACCAGGAGCTCTTCAATGATCTGAAACTCAAAAAAAGAGTCTTACAAAAAGTGGAAACCAGGTCAAATTACAAAGGATGAATATAAACAAATAATTGGTAACACAAGCACGTAGGGACAAAATTAGAAAAGCCAAGGCACAAAACGAGAGTAAACTACCTAAAGACAAAGGGTAACAAGAAAACATTCTACAGATACATTAGAAACAAGAGGAAGACCAAGGACATGGTAGGTAGGCCAGTTACTCAATGAGAGAGGAAAGACAACATGGAAATGGCAGAAGTGCTAAGTGACTTTTTTGTTTCAGTTTTCATCAAAAAGTTTAGTAGCAATGGACATCTAACATAGTGAACTCTGATGAAAATGAGGCAGGATCTGAGACTAAAATAGGGAAAGAACAAGTAAGGAATTACTTAGACAAATTAGATGTCTTCAAGTCACCAGGGCCTGATGAAATACATCCTAGAATACTCAAGGAGCTGACTGAAGAGATATCTGAGCCATTAGCGATTATCTTCGAAAACTCATGGAAGATGGCAGAGATTCCAGAGGACTAGAAAAGGGCAAATATAGTGCCCATCTATAAAAAGGGAAATAAGGACAACCCAGGGAATTACAGACCAGACACCTTAACTTCAGTACCTGGAAAGATAATGGAGCAAATAATCAAGCAATCAATTTGCAAACACCTAGAAGATAATAAGGTGATAAGTAACAGTCAGCATGGATTTGTCAAGAACAAATCGTGTCAAACCAACCTAATAGTTTTCTCTGACAGGGTAACAAGGCTTGTGGATGGGGGGGAAGTGATAGATGTGGTATATCTTGACTTTAGTAAGGCTTTTGATACGGTCTTACATGACCTTCTCATAAACACACTAGGGAAATACAACCTAGATGGCGCTACTGTAAGTGGGTGCATAACTGGTTGGAAAACTGTTCCCAGCGAGTAATCATCAGTAAGGCTAAGGTTTAGTCATGGGTATTTTTAATAAAAGTCATGGACAGGTCACGGGCAGTAAACAAAAATTCACGGCCCAGTGACCTGTCCATGACTTGTACTATATACCCTTGGCTAAATCTGTGGGGTTCTGGGGGACTCCGGGGGCACAGTTGCTGCTCTGGGGCGCCTGCTGGGGCTGCAGGTTCCAGGGCACCCACTCGTACTGGGGGAGGGAGGCTCTGGGGCGCATGCTGGGGGGGCCTCCGAGTGCCTGCTGGTGCACCCACTGGTGCTTGGGAGGGGCTCTGGGGCGCCTGCTGGTGCTGGGGTGGGAGGGTGGCCCAGGACTGCCGCTGCTGCTGGTGAGGGGCTGCCCAGGACCACCACCGCTGCTGCTACTGGCGAGGGACGGCGCTTCTGGCCCAGGACCCCCACTGCCGTTGCTGGCGAGGGACAGCCCGGGACCGCCGCAGCTGCTGTTGGGGCCGGCCCAGGAGCGCCGCTGCTGGGGCTGGGGTGGGGGGGGGCAGCCAGGGACTGCTGCTGGTGGGGGGGGGGGGGGGGGGTCGGCAGTGCGGCTGGCCCCGGGGCCACACCTCAGGCAGCCCTGGGGTCAGTCGCACCTGCCAGCTGCAGAAGTCACAGAGGTCCTGGAAAGTCTCAGAATTCGTGACAGACTCACAGCCTTAGTTATCCGTGGTTCACAGTCAAGCTGGAAGGGTATATTAAGTGGGGTCCCACAGGGATTGGTCCTGGGCCCGGTTGTGTTCAATATCTTCATTAATGATCTAGATCATGGCATAGAGAGTAGACTTATAAAGTTTGTGGACAATACCAAGCTGGGAGGGGTTGCAAGTGCTTTGGAGGATCGGATTCAAATTCAAAATTATCTGGACAAAGAGTCTGAAGTAAAAAGGATGACATTCAATAAGGACAATTGCAAAGTACTCCACTTAGGAAGGAACACTCAATTGCACACATACAAAATGGGAAATGACGGCCTAGGAAGGAGTACTGAAGAAAGGGATCTGGGAGTTATAGTGGATCACAAGCTAAACATGAGTCAACGGTGTAACATTGTTGCAAAAAAAAAAAAAAAAACCGAACATCATTCTGGGATGTATTAGCAGGACTGCTGTAAGCAAGACACAAGAATTAATTCTTCTACTCTACTCCGTGCTGATAAGGCTGCAACTGGAGTATTGTGTCTAGTTCTGGGCACCACATTTCAGGAAAGACATCGATAAATTGGAGAAAGTCCAGAGAACAACAACAAAAATGATTAAAGGTCTAGAAAACATGGCCTATGAGGGAAGATTGAAAAAATTGAGTTTGTTTAGTCTGGAGAAGAGAAGCCTGAGAGAGGGGACATGATAACAGTTTTCAAGTACATAAAGGGTTGTTACAAAGAGGAGGGAGAAAAATTGTTCTCGTTAACATCTGAGGACAGGACAAGAAGCAATGGGCTTTAATTGCAGCAAGGGAGGTTTAGGCTGGACATTAGGGAAAACTTCCTAACTGTCAGGGTAGTTAAGCACTGGAACAAACTGTGGAATCTCCATCATTGGAAGTTTTTAAGAACAGGTTAGACAAACATCTGTCAGGGATGGTCTAGTTATCACGTAGTCCTGCCTTGAATGCAGAGGACTAGACTAGATAACCTCTCGAGGTCCCTTCCAGTCCTACTCTTCTATGATTCTAAGAATCCTCCTCCCACCCTCTTTGACTTCTTCTGAACAGGCATCTGGAGATACTCCCAATTGCCCAAGAAAGGGAAGTGACTCACAGTGAGAAACCATCTCAGAATTAAACTCTCTGAAACTGAGTCACCTGCCATTATCAGCATACAATAGGCTGGCTTCTGTAAATATTGATTCATCTTTTCTGGGCTGTATGCTCTGCCCTTCAGTCTCACAGGTCTGAACTCTAGGTGCCCAGGATGTACATTAAAGTAGTGAATCCAGGGTTCTCTCTTCCAACCCACCCCCAAGATAAAGGAAAGGGTGAGGGGACCAGTCACCAGAAGAATGTGTGTCCCCAAAAGGGATAAAGGTGTAAGAGCTTATCGGAGATAGCAAAGATAGTACCAAAAATATGCAAGTGAAGGGTTGGCTGGTTTCCAGGGATGGGAACGGCTGGATGTAAAGAAAGAATGCATGGTGGGGTCACCGTCCTTTGGAGGAGAAACTGGTCTCTACTTGGAAAGGATGACAACCCAGAATAAAAGTGACTGAGGATTATTACAGCCTGACTGAAGGAGGAGAATGGACTCTCCTTTAGCAGGGCTGTTGATTCCATGGCAGATTCTGTACAGGTGTTTCAGTGGCATTTGCTCATCTGGGGACAGCTTTGCAGGTAGCAGCTCAAAACATAAGAGAGTCTAAGGCCCTTGCAGATAGACAGAGTCTCCCAAGGAATGCACACACAGGTCACAGCATACTGTACAGTGAGTAATTACAGGAGGTTTTCCACACTCCCCAGTGTGTTCTAAGGCACAAAGCTGGTGTTCTGGCAGCAGTGTGTGTATAGAGGAGAAGGGCAGTGAGGTGTGTACCAGGATCTTCCCTTGCTCCCATTTTATTACTTCCCTCCAATACCCTGTACTGGTCAAGCCAACCTTCCAGGCTGTAAACAGCTCCCACCAGAGCATGTTAATGCCACCTCTTCATTCAGCCACATGGGGGATGCTCAAGAGCTCTGGGAGAGGTAAACTCCCACCCAAGGCTGACCATGCTGTTTCTCTACTGTTCCCAACTAGGATTGCCACATCCCGAACAATCTCTCTCACCCCGACCCCCACTGGTTTTCTATAAAACCCCTCACCGTGATGTCTCGGTGCAACATGGCAATGCTTACATCACAAAGCAATGGTGTTAGCTCACTGCATCACCGTGGGCCACAAGATCAATTTCAGGATCTCGTCAGTGTCCCATGATCATTGTTCATAGGGCCACCGTCCCCACAAAAAAGGCTAGCCGGACCCAGGAAAGCCAGGGCAGGGGATGGCAACCTTACCAGGGAACTGAGATCAGCACTTACACTCAGACCCTCTGAAAGACATCAGTGCCCCAGGGGAGTCCTCACTTTGCAAAACACGAGGGCAGCCTGGCTCTCAAGTCTCCCCCAAGCTCTCTGTCTCTCAGGCACCTGCCCAACTCGGAGCAGCAACAGTCACACCCCTCCTCTCACCCAGTCCCTTGTAAATCCCTCCAACCATACAGCCACGCCCAGGTGCCTGCATCTCCCCCCTCCTCCAGCCACTCACCTTTCAGGGTCCCCAGCAGCGGCTCTTTCCCAGTCATGCTGCCCCCCTCCTCAGCCGCAGCCCCACAGACACCTGCAGGGCTCCACCCAGTGGCGACTGTGAGTCCCTTCCGCAAACACAGGGCAACATACTGGGAGATGCCACTCTCTCTGCAGCAGACGGGGGGGAGCAGAGGGGGCAGGGCCCAGTTCAGTACCTTTGCTGGGAGCCCAATACAAGGCTGTGCATTAGAAAAGCTGGAATAATCTCATCAGCTCTCCTGGAGGGTGACGAATCATGCTCCCGAGATGGTGGTCTGGGGTGAATGATTAGTAAGTGATAGAGACACCCCCCCCCCCCGAGGAAGAGATTTTAGGCTGTTCCAGCAGCTTTGGAATGTTGATACTTATTATCCTGCAACAAGTCAGCGGCGTGATGACGCTGATCAGAGAAACAGACCTGAGGTGGCTGGGTTTCATCCTGACACCTCTGTGGAGGGCCAAGGAAAACCCAGACCTCATTATCATTACTTATTATTCCTGAATGTGTCTTTTAGTTCCCATTAAACAAACATCATGATCTCCAAATGCAACAACATCCAATCAACGACATTTCTTCACATTACTGTCTGCACTACAACCATACAATTCAATCATACTATAATAATTAACAAGGCCAAACTAGGGGTGTTTGCAATGACAAATAGGAGGACTGTGCAAAACACGTTAGCCTCAGGGCTATTAAGGCATGACAGAGTGAGATTTAAAACTAACTTGGTAAGTGAAATTTTAGTATCTCATTGAAACACACATTGTAAAGCCTTTCATCATGAGAATGAAAGGGGTTTTAAATTAATATTTGTGCCTTCAATTTTACTGCTATAATATTGCTTAGAAACTACAAAGATGAGTGCTATCAAAACAACCCCTACATTATCAAAACAACCCCTACATTAGATAGATCCGCAACTCACTTAAGGATTCTCTGGACATTTGCAAACTGAAAGAAAGCTCACCTGAATGACACATTGCTCTTACAGGTTACAGATAAAAACAACGAGGAGTCCTTGTGGCACCTTAGAGACTAACAAATGTATTTGGGCATAAGCTTTTGTGGGCTAGAACCCACTTCATCAGATGTAGAAATGGGTTCTAGCCCACGAAAGCTTATGCCCAAATAAATGTTAGTCTCTAAGGTGCCACAAGTACTCCTCATTGTTTTTGCTGATACAAACTAACACAGCTACCCCTCTGAAACAGGTTAAATAAAATAAATTAAATTAATGGAGATATCCTATCTCCTAGAACTGGAAGGGACCTTGAAGGTCATTGAGTCCAGCCCCCTGCCTTCACTAGCAGGACCAACTACTGATTTTGCCCCAGATCCCTAAGTGGCCCCCCTCAAGGATTGAACTCACAACCCTGGGTTTAGCAGGCCAATGCTCAAACCACTGAGTTCTCCCTCCCCCTTCCTACAGATAGGAAATGTTGCTGGTAGCCCTGCAAGCTCATAATGCCACATACAATTAATCATCATAAATAATTAATACGTTTTATTTCATATAGCATCTTTCATGCAATGCATCCCAAAACCTTATACCTTTTTTTTTTAACTTCTCCAGGCCTCAGTCCCCTCATCCATAAGATGACCTGGCTTCTTAAAAGAGTTGCTCAGAGGCTGTTAGTTAATATGCCATGCTTCCTTCCAGTGGAATAAAAGTGCGATGGTAACACATGAATCCCAAACCCCATGATTTGAACTTGCACGTATTAAAGGCAGATCTTTCTAGCAGGTGGAGAGGCTGACATCACTGTGATAAATGCAGTAAAGATGGATGGATAAAGAGCTTGAGCCAGCAGGGAGAGGGAAGGCCGTATGCCTAACAGAGATGCCCCCCCCCATGATTTTGTCACTCGCAAAAATTTTTTAACAAAAATGGGAAAAAAAACATTTTTTCTTCTATTTTTTGGTTTCCATTGAAAAACCAAACTAAGAAAATTGATTTTTTAATATTCTGTGTATTTATCTATTGCAACTGACAACCACTTTTTTGGGGGGGGGGTTGCTGAAAACTGAAAAATGTTTGGGGTTTCAGTTTTTCAAAGAAAATCAACATGGCTGTGATGGAAATGGGCATTTTTGGATCCAATGGAGCTCCTGGGACATTCATATGGAACTATGTGAATCTGGAGAACCACCCCAGAAAAAGGCTATCTCCTCTGCCTCTCCTTTCCCTCCCCTTTGCCTGAGACAGCCGCACTCTACCCTCATATCTGAGGCCCTGTCTGCACTAAGGTCGTTTTCCATACATTGCTCACCTCTGTTAGCAACACTGGGAAGGCTATAGAGAGGTCACCAGCTACCACCAGGGTTTTTAACACTGTGCCAAGTACCCATGATCAGGGCAGGTCTAATGGATACTGTTAAAAACAGCAGCAGCCAGTGGCCCCTTTACACTAGGATTTCCAAGGGAGCTAACACCAGTAGAGCTGAGCTGGTGTTAGAAAAAAGTGCAAACTGTCCCTTCAGTACTCTCAGGGCCTGAGAAGTGCTGTAGGTACCGATGGAATGGCCACTCCTTCACCAAAAGCAATGATCTCCTGGGAAACCCACCCTGCACAGGAAAAGTAACCACACTTCATCCAGCAAATGCTCCCTGGTTCTCCACTCCTGCAGCCCCTCCTTTAGAGCCAGAGCGTCCCAAAGGAAGACGTGGGGTTTTCTACAGCGACTGGAGCATATAGGCAGCTCCCCCATTGTGTGGCTGGGGGGGTCCTTTCTGCTTTTAGGGTGCGCCCTTCTGGCGCGCTTTGAGATCCTCTGGTGGAAGATGCAAAGAGTTAATCACTGAACAGGGTTACTATTTAACTCGCCTGATGTGGGAGGCGAAATGACTGACCCGAGCTAAAGAAATTCACCAGCTCCAGGCTAAGGGGCGGGGCAGTAAAGAAGCCTCCAGCGCAAGCAGGAAGCGGGAGGAGGCCCACGCGACCTGGCCCGGGAGTTGTTGGTCCAGCTGGGCGTTCCGTGGTGGAACGTTGCAACACTGCGTTCCTAGCCCCAGCTCCCTGCAGAGCATGGCCGGGCGAAGGGAGGCCGATCTCGGCTCGCTGCTGGCACAGGCCCGGGTGGCGTACCGAGGGGCCTTTGCAGGGGCGGACCCTGAGATCGCGGTGTCAGCCCCCGGCAGGGTGAACCTGATCGGAGAGCACACGGACTACAACCAGGGCTTCGTGCTGCCTATGGTAAGGGGGAGGGCAGAGGGGCTGGACTTGGGGGGCCCCGCCGAAGCATTACTTGGGCTGTGGTCATGCCGGCCCCCCCCGCCTTCCCCCACGAGTTGGGTGCAGTAAACCCAGGCACTTCGGTACCATCCCGTTCTTTCATAGAGGAGCGGGGGATCCAGTCCGCATTGTTGCGAGGGTCGGGAGCAGAATCCTCCACGTTGCTGTCTCCCTCCGTGTTTCTGCAGCCCCCTGGCTCGCGAGACGAACACTTGTCCCGCGTGTTTGTTACACGGGGCGTCACTGCAGAGAGAGCCACAAAATGAACCGCCCCTTCCCCCAGAACGGTGGTGGAATAAAGAGCCCCCCTCCCGCCTCCTGAGAGAATCACAACACTCAGACTTGCTCCCAGTCCCAGCAAAACTATCACTACTGAATTCTTCCCGCTCCGCTACAGCCTCTATCAGCACAGTGCTGTACAAACGGTAACCAAGTCACTCGGCTCGGGATGTTGGATTGGATTATGTTGGAACTGGAAAAGGTTCAGAAAAGGGCAACAAAAATGATTAGGGGTCTGGAGCATCTGCCATATGAGGGGCGATTAATAAGACTGGGACTTCTCTGCTTGGAAAAGAGATGGCTAAGGGGCGGGGTATTATAGAGGTCTGTAAAATCATGACTGGTGTGGAGAAAATAAATAAGTGTTATTTATACTCCTAACACAAGAACTGGGGGGGTCACCAAATGAAATTAATAGACAGCAGGTTTAAAACAAACAAAAGGAAGTATTTTAATCACATAGTGCACAGTCAACCTGTAGAACTCCTTGCCAGAGGATGTTGTGAAGGCCAAGATTATAACGGGGTTCAAAAAAGAACTAGATAAGTTCATGGAGGATAGGTCCATCAATGGCTATTAGCCAGGATGGGCAGGGATAGTGGCCCTAGCCTCTGTTTGCCAGAAGCTGGGAAAAGATGACAGGGGATGGATCACTTGATGATTACCTGTTCTGTTCATTCCCTCTGGGGCACCTTGTATTGGCCACTGTCGGATGGGGTGACCAGACGGCAAATGTGAAAAATCGGGACGGGGGTGTGGGGTAATAAGTGCCTATATAAGACAAAGCCCCAAATATCAGGACTGTCCCTATAAAATTGGGACATCTGGTCACCCTACTGTCAGAAGACAGGATACTGGGCTAGATAGCCCTTTGGCCTGACCCAGTACAGCCGTTCTTCTGGATAAAAATCAGGCCTCAGGACAATAAGTCCCCCAGTTTAGTAAACTGTTAAGATTTCCCCCATCACCGTGTAATGGTTTTTGGCCTAGCTGTGGCTATCCAGTGGCAATACTGCCAGACATGCAGTATTGGGTGTGTTGGGAAGCACATTTTAGCAGCCTCTTGGCCTGGGCTTGGATTAACTTCCCCAAATGAGAATTCTAGGTCACAGGGTAACGGAGAAGGTAGGAACCATTCTCATCTTCCTGCCATTCCAGGAAACCAACAAGTGTCAGACAGCGGACTTAGAGCACCACCGTGTGGGCACAGCGCTAGGAAAAACAGCTTTAGGCCAAGATTTCCAACCATGGATGGCTCCTCAATCCTTTTTTCTGGCATCTAAATAAATGGCCTAATTTCCAAAGGTGCTGAGTGCCCTTCGACTTCCTGCACTCAGCAGGGCTTTTGAAAATCGTGCCACTTATTTAGGTGCTTAAATATGGATTTGGGAGCCTGTCTTTTGACGATCGTGGGCCTGGCCTGTAATTACAACTCCATCTCCTTCAGAGCTGCAGCCTTGCCGCTGAGCATGACAGGTAACATGGTCCTGGGTAAATGAGATTACAGATGGGTTGTACTGCCCTTCCCCT